TTGCTCATAGACTAACTTTCAGCATCCAATCAAATCTCCCTGAAAAACTGACATGCAGACCTTATCAGAATGCCTGTCTGAAAGGAGCCTTAGCAACTTCACTAGCCTGTGTAGAACTGCCACTGACACAGCCCCCTCCTCACCCAATCAGTAGTAGCCGGGACATTCTATACATCAGTAAGGGGCAGGGAATGCCCCTGCTACAACAGATTAGGCTAGGAGGGGGTGTCAATCACACTTTTGCATGGGCTTGCATGAACTTGGTTCACACCAAGCCCTGCTCATTGCTAATGATCACTTCACTTAATTTGTGTTCCTGTTCTATCATTTTCTGGATAATTACATCTGTCCCCAAGTATTCAGGGGAAAAAAAATATTATCAGGTCAAGCCCAGCTACTAATAGCAGAACATTTAATCACTCTTGGGAGTCCAGGAAAAAAAGGCACACACCACTGTAAACAGATGTGCATGCAAAAGGACAGCTGATCTGTGTGCCACCACAGAATCTCACGGCCTGTCCACCCCAAGCTGCGACAATGCATGCAATGCCACGATGCACAGCAGCATGCTTTTGGTAAACCTCCACAACAACATATGCCCACGCACTAACGTGCATTGCAATGCGCTGATAATAATTGTGCATGCACGGTTTGTTGAAGTGCCCTGCATAGCTTACTCAAATGAATGGGCTGTCTTAATGCAACGCATGTTAACTCACACACAACATGGGTAGCCATTTATGAATGCAGTTGAGGCTTTTCACAGTATTTGAATGCATACAACTTCTTCTCAGAACATTACTGTTGCAGCAAAACGTTTGCTAGTTGCTTACTACTTCTGATTCTGTGAACCACATTGTGATAAATCTGTCACTTTTTTATGACAGATACACAAAATGCAGCATATTTGCAAACACAACTGCAACTTTATTGATAACGGTTCCCCCCAGGGTAAACAATATATTCAAAGTACAGTCTACACAGTGAGAGAAATATAACTTCAATTCCTGCCCACAATAAAAAAATAACTGTACCTTTTCCTGTGGCTTGCTACTCCATTACACTGCAAAATACAAGTTGTAGAATCTCCACACAACCTCTTCACCTTCTCAGGCTTCACACTTGTTCAGCTCCACTTTCCTGTTTCTCCATAAGAGCCAAGCCTCGCTCTAAGAGCCAGTCCACGGTCATGTGATCACTTATCATGCCTTTCACTGGTCCTGCTCCACTTCCTTGTTCCTCTATGGGAGCCAAGCCTCACTCTGAGAGCCATTTAAAGGTCATATGATCATTTTTCAGGCTTCTCACTGGTCCTGCTCCACTCCACTTCCCTGTTCCTATAAAGGAGCCAAGCCTCACTCTGAGAGCCATTCAAAGGTCATATGATGATTTCTCAAGATTTTTACTGGTCCTGCTCCTATGAAGGAGCCAAGCCTCACTCTGAGAGCCAGTTGAAGGTCATATGATCATTTCTTATGCTTCTCACTGGTCCTGCTCCTCTACGGACCCTAGTCTCACTCTGAGAGGCAGTCCAGGGTCACGTGATCACTGATCATACACATTGTTGTAGATTTAAAAACCTCACTATATTAGGCTTCATTCACACTTGTGTTTTTATGCCATTCGCTATTTCATTCAGTCCCATAATGCCCTGCACCATCACACAAGTGATTTTGAGCTACCGGTGCATGTAGGACCAAGCAGAATCACCATGTCCACTATGTCCCCCGGTAGTTTGCACAAAACCGGGCGGATTCATTCCCTTGCAGAGTCCTCTGGAGTGACTACTGTCCAAAGAGTGTGACCTGGCTTACTTTTATATCTGTGTATATTCTCTGTGTACAATACCAGCTCCCCGAAATGATTGTGATGGCACTATAAATCAGTGACTATAGAAAAAATAGCTACCAAAGTTCTGCGTGTGTCAGCTCTTTTCTTCTTCAGGTGTGGACATTGAAGAAGTAGTAGCACATTAGGTCAGTCCTAGGGTCTCTTCTTCTGCGTAGATGTAACTTTGTCAGCAGATGAAAAATTAAAACAAAAAAAGTACTACTCGTAAAGAAAACGCTTAAGCTGGCCATACACCTATAGATTATCTGCAGATTTTCTAATGTCAGCAGGAAAAAGTGCAACAGATTCCTCCATCTACGTTAAACTGTGTGGATGGAGGAATCTCCCGCTGGGCCAAGCTTCAGTATCTTGTTAGTCGGCCCCGCTAGTTCTCAAAATACCCGAACAATGCATCCAATCAGATTGTTCAGGTATTTTGACAGAAGAAGTTAAACTTCTGGGCCAAGCTTCAGTATCTTGGTAGTCGGCCCCGCTGGCTTTCAAAATATCTGAACAATCTGATGCATTGTTTGGTTATTTTGAGAGCCAGCAGGGCCGACTAGCAACATAATGAAGCTTGGCCCAGTGGGAGATTTCTCCATCCACACAGTTTAGCGTAGATGGAGGAATCTGTTGCACTTTTTCCATCTGACCATAAAAAATCTGCAGATAATCTATAGGTGTATGGCCAGCTTTAGGGAGGGATCACATCCAGTGTCCAGTACCGTGTGCATTACCACAGTGGCACACACAATTGTAAATCATTCCCTATTGCACTAAGCATTGCAAAGAGCTGCAAGGCATAGGAATGCACTGCTAAGCATTCGGTTAGGAAGAAAGGGTCAGGTGCAGTTTTGGCCATGCAGGGGTGCATTGGCAGCCTATACACTTGCTACCCTAACACAATGCACCTTAAGGTTGCGTTCACACCTAAGTGTTTTGTTGCTCAAATCTAAGCGTGACAAAATGCTCAAGACAAGGAATCCCATTTATATTAATGGTTTACACCTGTGTGTTTTGTCGCACAAAGTTTCTCATTGAAGTCTATGGGACCAAAAAGCTCTGTAATCTGCCAAAAAGTAGCTCATGTACTTTTTCCATTGACAGGCATTTTTCTGCTTGTGACGCTACTCAGGTGTGAACAGGGGGTATAGAAACAAATGTGATTCCTTGTTTTGAACATTTTGTCGCGTTTAAAACAAGCAAATGGGGCGCCTTGTCTAAAGAGCTTTGTCAACGCTTACTTTTGAGCGAGAAAATGCCTAGGTGTGAACGGGGACTAAATGCGTGACTGGGCATTAATACACCACAAAGGTGTGATCTCGGCCTTAAAGAAGATGTTTCAAGGTCTGCTCGTTACCTGGGGATCCCCATCTCTATTCTAAATCACATTAAACTGTAAAACAAAACACCTATGGGAAAAATAAGTCAGAAAATATGCTTACCTTACACCTGTCTTCCACCCACAGCATCTAGGGAGAGGGTGAGTGATGAACTTTTTAAAGTAAAAAGATAAATTACCCTCCCAGTGAACCTGACAGCAAGAGCAAATGGTATGAATTGCCAGAAAATGTTTTTTTTTCTATTCTCTTATTTGTATAAAGTTCCAGTAAAAAATAAAGAGTATAACCTATGACCTCTAGATGGCAGTGTGTAAAACCTAAAAACTCTTGCTATTTTCAAAAAACTAAAAAGAAGCTCTCCCTCCTAAGAAAACAAAGGATATTAACATATCCTGTGCCCTGCGTCTTCAAACTTTTCTCTCTTTAAAGAGATTAGCTTGCTTAAAGCCACACTCCGGGGAAAAAACATATAATTTATACAGCACACTGGGTGTGTTAATTATCATTATTAAGCTGAGTGTTATGTGCAGAGGGCTACTGCAAAGTATACAAATCTTACCTTGCAGCATGTCATCTCCTGCACATAACACCGAACATCTGGGCACTGAGGAAAGGGAGGGATATGACTCTAGCAGTACATTGTTCTGGTCTAATCGCACGGCCCTCCTCAGTATTGTCCATTCACAAAATGTCTTGTATTTTTTCAAAGAATACAAGACATTCTGTGATTGGAGGGGGCCGGGGCGTGACATCAGTTGTCCAATCACATGCAGATGAAATAAGCAACAGGAGTTTGCTTTTCACATAAATGAAGTGAATATTTACGCAAATTTATTGTGGCTGATCTTCTAAAGGATTTGAGAATGTTCATACGATAAATAGTGTGCAGATTCACTTCAATTATCCAATTACATGCAGATGGAATAAATAACAACAGGGACTTTCTTTTTACATGACTGGATAATTGAAGTGAATCTTCACACATTTTGTTGTGTGAACAATTTCAAATCTATTAGTATATCAGCTTGTGTGCAAACAAATGCACTTCATTCCAGATAATTAGGACCCGTTGTGGAAAAATGCTCAACATTAAGGTCATGTGATCATCACGTGACCAAACACACTGCCACCCACAGGTGCTATAAATCAACACCTGTCGAGCAGAAACATTGTTATCATGTTACAAAATATAACATTGCCTAAGGGCCCATTCACACTAAAGCGGTGGGCTATTTGCATGTTACCAGGCATTAAGTGCACGCTATTATAGAACACACCTAATGTGCAGTACTATGCGCTAGGTACTTTGCATTGCCATTTATTTGAATGGCACCCCAACACCACTCCTGTGCATTGCATTGCAGTGGGAGAAAAGTAGTGAATGTTCTACTTTTTATCACCGTAATGCACTCTAATGCTGCACCACGTGGTGTGCAGTAACACATGGCCGCCAGGCTGTACCGCATGTTTGGTGCGTTGTTCTATAACGTGCGATAACTGCATAGTAATGTGTGATTGGCACAACGCTCTGGTGTGAATGGGCTTAGATATATGAGAATTATTTTATGTCTGTAGCAACTCCCCATACTCTTCAAGACAACTTAGGCCCCATGCACATGAATATACTGTGCATGAGTGCAGGTGCTTTTGGAGATAATTTCTAAATGCATCCAAAGCCATGTAATGCTTTTCTACGACTGAATGCAGACCTAGATATTAAGCAACGTCTTGATGCATTCAGTTTACTTGAGTTTACACATGCAAACATTTTCTGTGACTTGGGACCATTTACAGTACATTCACACATGGCGTTCTGGGATCCCTGCGGCAAGAACCTACAGATTTCTGCGGCAGTGTCCTTGTTCAGATGCAGCTGCTATACACACTAAAGTAAATGACATGGTGACAGTGGCTGCATATCTCAGCAGCAGTCTGCATGCAATCTTACATGGTACAATTACATGCCGCTTAGGATAGATGATTGTTGCTGGAAGCGGACTGCCTCTGAGATATGCAGCCACTGTCACTGTCATTTGCTCCAATGGGAACAGCAACCACATGGAACAGGTTCACCTGGGATTTTTGCCGCAGGAATCCATAGGTTTTCATTGGCAGGAATCTGCAGCATCAGTCCCTGTGTGATATGGTCCTTAGCCTAGTTCTTTGCAGCTGAATGCATGAAAAGCATCTTAAATGCAGCTAAACAAATGAAAAATGTGAACTGGGAAGCATAAGGCCACATTGCACAGGCCATTCAAAAAATGCAATCCAAAGCATTCTTTGTTTAGGGATTGGGTGCAGGTATTTTGTTTTCAATGGGGACACAGCAAATTGCATAAACATGTGCTGCGTTCAGGTCCATAAACTTTTACACGTGTAAATGAAGTCCAAACAAAAAATTACATTAAAAACAGAGCAGAAGGAATAGAATGAGAATTGTACGTGTCTAAACACAAGCATTTTACTGATCATTGCACCCAAACTTTTTGGGCAGAAAGAAACATGTGTACATGATCAGTAAATGTCTTATTGTTGTGTCCAAGTAGCAAAAAATGTATTTATACTTCCCAGATCATTTATCCTGCATTTAACTCCCTGGATCCTCCTCCTCCAGTGGCAACTCACCTATTGCGAGCATACATTTCTGCAATGTTCACAAGTAAAATGTATCATATGTATCATATACAAATAATATTATAATATTGTATTATATACAAATAATACATTGATGAAAAAATATCAGTGTATAAACCCACCATATGTGAATGGATGACTCTTTAAAAGAGGCAGGAAAGGTCACACAGCAATTTAATTACAATGGAAATGATGGCAAATGACACCATGAGTCTTTGTGAGAGTATTTCCATATAGCTATTATATATACTGTATATACTTTAATTATGTCAGCCTGCTTATACTCATACTAAAATTGAATCATAAGCTTGCCAAGTACCATACTGACTGGTCAGAATGGAGA